AAAAAAAAAAAAAAAAAAGAGGGTATGGATAATGATATGTTAGACATCGTCAAACTTTCATGAAAATAAAGTGAATAGAAGAATTCCAATTGTTGTTCATTCCTAATAAATAACTGTTCATTTGGACAGTCAAAAGATAACTTTTGTATTTAAGTTTGTAGGGAATAACATTAATCTAGTTTTTTAGCAATCAGTAATATTGATTTTGGTTCAGTTCTCCATAGACAGAGTCTCTGGTTCGAATTCAGTGCATGAAAAAAAAATTTGGCTGAGAAAACTAGTGCTATTCTGCTATGAATATTCTTGGTTCGAAATTCGAATACAGGAATACAGAAGAAGCTGATTCCCTGACAAAATAATTTACATATTATGTTTGAAGATTTGTAAATTATATATGAAATTTACATATCATTTCACTATTGTTCTAGCTATAGTTCAGTAACTACCGCGTTTCCAATAATTTTTTTAGTCAAGATTTTTAAGTAGTCAACTTATTTGATAGTTGATGACATACGACGGGATAATATGCATGGTAAAAAAAAAGAGTCTACATTAATAGTACAGATTAAATCCTTTAACATCTGACTCGTTCATGATAAAGACAAATATTAATACTCTTTGATGCTTTATTTTTAACAACTTTTTATATTATTAAGTGAAAACTCATGTTTCCGTTCAAAAAAGAAGAGTGAAATCTCATGTTGACTTTATTAATAAAGGATGAGCATAACTTATTAAGTAGAATTAATATGAAACTTTACATTAATATAAATCTTCACCTAATAATAACGAATATATTTAAAAGAGTTAATCACCCATATACTGATAATGTAAAATTTTTTTACACTGGCAACCAATCAAATCTTTTAAATTATTTTATTTTATTTTTATTTTATTAAATAAACAACTAACATGACACTATTAAAAAATATGATTAATTGTCAATATAAATTTTTTTTACACTGACAATATATAGGTGATTAACTCTATTTAAAAAGAAAAGATCAATATCATTCCTTTAATAATAGATAAATTAAAAAAAAAATCAGGAGAAAAACATCATAAAATATTTCTTGTGATATCAATGACACCATTCTTGTGAAAAAATTATTCATACAAAAAGATAGAGAGAATATAATTTCTAGGGTAATTTCCCACTAAAAGATGTATAGGAAAAATCAATTCTTTAATTTATATATCTGGCCAATTCTAAGAGATCCCAAACTATTCTTAATGAAAATTTGAATTTTCAAAAGCTCCGCAATTATTATTCACCAAAACAAAAGACTAGTGAAGTTTCGGCCTAGCAGGCTTACAGGAGTCGACCTTTTCACACCTCAAACTATGCTATCAAGTTTCTTTGGAAGGATCGTTGAATAATTTGTCACGACCATGGAAAAGAAAATTTCAGTTTGGATTGGAGTTACGATATAAAAACAACTAGTGTGTCATATTGCATATAATTTAAAAATATTAAAATAGTGAACAAATTTCCTCTATTAAAAATATAAACCAACATTATAAACTTCCATATGATTTCCTTTGCCTGCAAATTAATTTATTTAAATATATATATATATATATATATATATATATATTAATGATTGATATTATAACCTACTTAATTTAGAGGAAATCTTTTACAAACTGATTAATCACAATAAGTATTTCTATCACATTTGATCATGTATTCTTTATAAAAATTCACAAGGGATATTTTAAACAAATTCTATCTCATATCTAACTTATTGTAATCTTGGGTTTTGACATTCACGTCATTTTTTTTTAAATTTAAAAATAGAAATAATGAAATTCTTACAAATTATGTGCTAAGAAATGATTTATAAGAAAGAAACGCTGCTACAAATATTTGCAACAAAAATTAGGTAATATATATATATATATATACCAAGGTTTTAAATTATAATTCGCAACACCTATTGCAGTCACAATATTGTTGTTTCGGTGTTTCTTGCAATTGCAATGACTCATAATTGTAAGATGTTTTAAATTATTAATAATTCTACTACACAACTGTAATATAATCACAACACAACCGCAATAGATCTACAATATCATTTTATTATATTTTTTTTTGTCAAAAATCATAGATTCAAATTTTAATCTTCTAATCTAATAAGTTTGATCACATGGAATGAGAGGGAGGGAAATAATTAATGATGGTTGATTGGAATGTTGAAAAATTGCCAGTAAATGATGCATTTTAGGTAAAGAAGAAAGAAATTTAGAACGAAAAATAAAGAAAAAGGGATTTGATTGATTTTTATGATTAGAAAAATTATTTGTTTATGTTCGATACAAATATATAATAATTTCACGCTACAATAGTTGCAATCCATATCGTAGCAACCACAATTTAGAATAATAGTGTGTGTGTGAGCACATGTATAAAAGGTATAAAGTAAAAAAATATATTTTTAAAATTTAAATTTATAGGTATGAAAAATACTATTAGTAAAAAATATATTTAAAATTAGAACGGAGAACTTTACAGAGAAAATAACACACTATTTTTTTTCTTCCAAAATATGAAATTTGAAATTTGTGGATGTGTGAAAATGTATCTAATAATATAATTTTTATGATATAGTGAAAAAAAAACTCAATTTATACAACCATAACTGATAAGTACTATGATTTCATTAAGTTTATGACCTAGTTTGAAGCATTTATATCAATTTTCCTTGCTTTAGACTTTGTTTTTAACTCAAAACATATCTAAATTGTTAGGTGATCACATTTTGTTTTTGAATCATGTTTTTAGGTAACTTACAAGTATTTGGTTGTTGTTTTGTAGTTTAGGAGAAAGCTAGGAAAGAAGGAAGGAAGTCAAGCACAAAGTGGTGAATTTGAAGTTGAAGGAATTTTTGGTTAAGTTCCCAAGCTAAGCCCCAGATCCACGCTTAGCCTCAGCATGGCAGAGAATCCCTGGAACAGAATTTTGATTCCCACGCTGAGCGTGGAACTGAGGCTTAGCGTGGATTGTGCTGACATGTCATTATTCACATAAGACAAAAGCTTTTATGACCTAAAAGTGAGATTTTTGAGGAGAGAAGTAAGGAGGATCATTCTTGGACTTTGTGTGGCGGCTGGAGAGCTCTGGAACCTTCAAGATCAAGCTTCTTCCTTTCTTCATCATTTGTAGAGTTCTACATGTCTATGTGTAGCTAAACTCACCCTTGTTGGGGTTTGATGTAACTAAACCCATTCTCATGTGTAAACTCTAAGCTATCAATCTAAGTTGTTATTCAGTTTTATTGCTCTTTTTCTGTGCATAATGCTTGTTATGGCTTGATCACCCTTAACTTGAACTTAAGGTTTTTAAGAGATTGAGAAATGATTTTAAACCTTTGACTTGAAATAGAGCAGCTAATGGTGCTTATTGCTAGAGATAGAGTAAATGTCATTGGTCTTTCTTAAGCTCTTGTTTTTAAAGCTGGTTTCTTGGTTAAACTATGCAAGAGATTGATAGTTTAAGCTAGTAACTTAGATGCCAACTTGTAATAGATTATGGTTGGTTACTTTTGAGAGTGATTGATAAATTCTGAATAATAACTATTGTGAACTTAGTGATAAGCATGAGAGGAAGGTTTAGTGAAGTCAAACCCCAACAACTTATTAATATTGCATTAGAATCAAGTTTTGCATTCTAAGTGTTTACCAAAATTCTAAAAAGAATTGTTATTGCTTGTTTACATTATTTACTGCAACAAATCAAACTCTTATTGCTTTTCGGTAGCTTAGTTAGTATAACAAGTGAAATTGTAAAGTGTTGCGCAAGTCCCTTAAGAGACGATACTCATACTTTCATCGAACTACTTATACTATTTGGTACACTTGCCAAACGAGATAACAAGTTTCTCATAACCATCTACGAGAGTGAGAGAAGAAAATTTAGATCATGCAATCACTAATTACTTTAGGAAGTTAGGTGGTTTAAAAAGCCACCTAACTTTTTTCTTCCTTCTAGAATAAGTTAGGTGTTTTTTTTTAAATACTTACATAGGTTATATATTTATCTCTTAACAATTCACGATAGAATCTAATAATTAATATTTGTCTTACTCCTTTTGATGAGACATCTAGTATGTCGCATGCTTAGTTGCTTAGAGAATGGAATCTACATTGATATTTTTCTTAAAGTGTCCCAGTAAACATTGCAAAAAAGATCCCATCTAGATAAGGAATTAATGCTGGTGGTGCCATATTTGATCATATACTCCACCTATTTACGTGCACAAGTCAAAACTCATGGATCACACGCATCATCAGTTCATCATCTAGTTTCATTAGTAATTACTATAAAAACACGATCAATACACAATATAGTGTTCAATCAGTAAAAAAAAAATGCTACATTAGTTTTGTGTGAAAATAAGGATTACAAATGATATTAAACTAACTATAGTACAAATATGATATCCTAAATATAAAAATGACACGATTAAATATATCCATAAACTATACTTGTACCGGAAGGTCCCTATCGGTCACGTTGACCAACACGGCACATTGGCTAGGGAGCGGGAGTTGGAGGCGGAGGAGCAGCGGAAGCATCGATGGGAATAACGAGCGTCCAATCGGGAGGAAGAGGAGGCAGAGGATCGTACACCGTAGGTTTCCGATTTATATCCCACGGCTGCGTCTTCCGTGGCCGCGTCTTCCTGTGATGCGCCGTCGCTTT